AGACTTGCTCCTGAGTGCTCAGAGCAGTGTGGCGGAGCCAGCCCAAAGCCCAGCAACACTGTAAAGACAGAAAATAGTTGAGGAAAGTAGGTACTCACTCAAGATGGTATGGATAGTGATACACGGGTAAAGGTCCACGGCTGGAGCCTGGAGTCAGCTCTGAGCTTTATGATGCCGGCTGCTTCTTACCCTACATTCAACTGTAAGCGCAGCATGATAAATGCTCACATACTACCTACACTGGTACCAATCAGGCAGGAAAACGAGTCTGCCCCTAGGTCTGGGGAGAAGGGGGCTAAAAAGACCGACTCAGGAGGGGAGGACTGTGGGGAGGTGGCTCGGGGGCCTGTGCTCAAGTCCCCTCTTGGCTCCAGGGAGCACGGGCCTTTCCACTGCCTTCCCCAAGGTGCAGAGATGTGTAACCTGCTCTTCTCTCAAAACATTAAAGCAGCTGTATTTTCAGATCCAAGTTCAAAGCCCAACGACTTCCAAATTCAAGGGTAGGAACTGACCACCCTATCATGTAGCTGACAGCAAACATTTTCCGTCATCAGGACAGAGAAATCCAAAATTCCAAAATATAAGGCAGATGTCGTGAAGCAACAACAGTTCAATAAACAAATACAACACCTTTGTTTGGATGAGAGGAGGAAACAGGGCACGGGCAGAAGAACAAACAGAAATCCCCGAGTTCAGCTGTCTGGGTTCCCCAATCCTGCAGCTACCAGCCCAAGCAGCCGACACGACGTGTAATTACAGAGAACAAAAATGACCCTCCCAAGAGGACTCTTTCTTCGAGAAATTCCACAAGGGGGATCACGATCCAAGGCATCATTAACTGATTCCATACACACGTGGGTGCCACTAAACCCATGTTTAAGCCCCTTTTCTAGGACACCAACTACATTATCTCCAAAGAGAGACTTCTCCTGTCCAGTCCAGTTGGAAGCAGTCGAAACATGCTACAAGTCTCATGACTCACTCTCCCAAACCCCCATATAACAACTCTTCTAAACATTATGGTTTTCAAGGACCCCTTCCTCGGGGTTTGTGACCCACTGACCAGCCGCCCGGGGACACACACTCTGGACTTCCCCAGGCGGTGTGACTCCCAAGAAGCTTATCAATCCCAGTCTCCCTAAGTAGCCTTGAGCACAGAGGCTGTGAAAGGAGTGAGGCAGGGTAGTTACATCCCATCAGCCCTGGTTCTATCACTAACTGCTTCAAACCGGAAAAACAGCATTGGGCAACAGGATTCCAAAACTTCAACAGGATAAAGTCATGCTATGGCATATTCCAGAACACAGCTCCAAGGCCCATCCACAGCACGCTAGTCACAGCTGAGAGAAATTAACATGAAGACTAGATTAGCTGTATTACGCATGAGCCTCATTCGAATCACCCCTCCCTACCAGGTTAAATTAAACCTCAGGCAGCATGCTACATGCATCTTCAAGGGTATTATTCTAAGTACAGGTTCAAACAAACTGCCTACACTAACTGGGGCCGCTCGATGGTGCAAACTCAGTAATCTAAAGGAAAAATGGTCTTTAATATAAAAATATTCTAAATATTAGAATCAGGAGGTTTGGCTTAAATTCTGGAAGGTACTTAAGAGGAAGTTTGTCCCCTGAGAGAATCATTTAGCCTCTATGAGTATCAGTTAACTTATTTATTAATATCAGAACACCAGAGTCTACAGGTCCTATCGATTCTAGGAAGAACAACTCACATACGAGAGCAACTGGAAACCACTAACCTGACGTCATCTTTCTTTTAGAATATTCTTCAACATATTACTTGAACCAAAATTTAAATTTTAATCAAACTCCTTCAGTGAAATTATTTTTACAAACACTAACTCATCAAATCCTACTGTATCTAAAGTCCCATCTCACCTATCCTAGAAATCCAGCAACTTAACTGTACACCAGAACTGCGTCTATGAAGAACTGATGACAGAAATTTAAAATCTCCTCCTCCGAGAGTCTATCTGTAACTCCACACTGGAACCCATCATCCCAGGAACATGAAGGGTTCACCCAGCTTGGAAGTCGTTCTGCTTTCTCTTTGAAATTCAAAGTGCGTCTCATCAGATGGTTAAGTATTGGAAGTATTACTTTTAAGCAAACTGAGTTTTTCAGTGGGCTATTCTCCTAAACATACTAGTTCCGTACAAAGATGTTATTTATTTACCGCTGATAAGGAGTCTGCCTGCAATGCAGGAGACCTGGGTTTGATCCCTGGACTGGGAAGATCCCCTGGAGAAAGAACTGGCAACCCACTCCAGTATTCTTGCCTGGAAAATACCATGGACAGAGGAGCCTGGCCTGCCAGAGTTCATGTGGCTGCAAAGAGTTAGACACAACTAAGAGACTTCACTTCTCCTTCTATAGGATCCTTTGAGGTGTACATACAAGGCACCATTTTTCACACATTAGGGTTTTTTTTCCTCCAAGAGTATCAGTCAAGTCCATCTCTGACCAACCCTTTCCTGTTCTACTCACATTTCTACTGATTCTACATAGAGACTTAGAGGCTTAAAATGAAACAAACCAATGAACGACCTGAGACTCTCATCTCAGGATCCGGTGATGGCCCCCTCTCAAGATCTGGACCTCACCTGTGGCCTCCCCCGGGCTCCCCAGCTGCTCATTACTTGTACAACAGCACTGACTCTTTTCTGTCTTAGTCTAGGATCTGCATTTAGGAAAGGCCACCAAGAATCTGGAGCTCAAGCAGCTGACTCAGCCGTTGGTGTAGCTGAAGGGGCAAGCCCCCAGACAGCCTCCATCAGCACTGCCTGGGGCAGAAGACCTGGCTTGGAGACACAGTCCAGCCATGCAGGTAGCCAGCCCAACCCCACCTCTCCTCCACCCCAACATCTTTGGTCCACTCCCTGTCCAGGACATGCCGAGCCTCTCCATTTCCTCCCCAGCCATCTCACCCTGGACCAAGGCCTCATGGCTAGGTTCCCCTCTCACCACCCTCTCCCTTTACAACAGACCCTGAGGGGTCCTTTAACTGGCCGTAGGTAGTTCAAAGATGGCTTGTTCCTGAATATTCTGGATAAAGGCATCACCTGTAGAACCTGCAGCCACTAAGAAAAATAAGCAATTATTTCAACAAAGACTTCCACCAAACTATATGCAAATAAGCTATTTCTAAGGTCGAACATTTTATCCTAAATTAAAACACACTCGACAGCACTGTAAATCAACTGTACTTCAATAAAACACACACAAACACACACACAGGGAACAAACAGGATCTTAAAAAAGTTAATTGTGAGCACTAGCAGCACCTGTAAATATGTAAATTATGTGGCGTAATGTTCAACATCAGTATCCCCTCCCTGCACTTTCTTTCCGGTTTCCCTTATAACACCACCACCACATAGTAGTCACTATTTACCAGGTATTATTCTAAGTGTTTTATGTGAATTAATTAATGAAAGGCTCTGAACAGCTCTCTAGGGCAGCTAATATTAATTCCGCCTATTTACAAATGACCACATTTGGCACTGAGAAGTTCAAGTGAGTGGCAGAGTCTGCTCAGACGGAAGACGCCAAGACTAGAACTAAGCAGTCCTGCTTCTAAGCCCGGTGTGTCCACGACTGTACTGGGATGCCCGGACACCTCACTGTCACACTTACGTCATCAAAGCTGCTTGGGAACCGCTAGAGGGGCACGGAGGGTGACTGCCCCTGGCGGCTCTACCCTCAGCCGTCTGGAGGGTCCTGAAGAAATCAGGCCGAGTTCCACACTGGTGGGCTGCCCCTTCCAGACTGCGCTCCTTAACGGTGAAGGAGAAAACTGCAGCTCATCTCTTAGACTTTGATTGCCCGGGGCACCCAAGTGACAGTAAATGAATGAGACAGTCCTCGACACCTGCTGCAGAGGGGCGTCTTCCACCAAGAAAAAGCCTTGGACCTAAACACACGCCTGAGAAGGCCCTGCATGGGGACAGTCCTTAGCCAACTCTTCAAACCTCTCCAAAGCTAACCCTGCAGGAGCCCCAGAGCTGCAGGAACCGACACCTGAAACTTATCAGCAGGTGCGCGCGTCCTAGCGGACAGCACGCTGGGAGAGCCGGCCTTCACTACAGGAGCACTGCTGCCTTCATAAAGCCTTCTACTGGAAAAAGAAAAACAAAACTAAAACGTAAACCCAGACTGCACCAAACACGAGTTTACGTATGGTTCATTCACTTTAGAAATATTTTTTTCTAAAAGCTTCTTATAAAGAGTCAATTTCCCTCACGTCACTCAGAACACCCAGTAATTTTAAAAATGAGCTTAATTTGGGCAAGGAAACCACATGAGACAACGCTAGGGATCAGCTCCCGGCACCCAGAGGAGCGACGCCCAGGTACAACCCCCGGGGGACCCCCGGCGCGGTCCAGACCACCGCCCGGTTCCGGAGCCCTCACGTCCCCGTACGCCGCCCCAGCCGGAGCCGCCTCCCAGCTCCCTTCCGACCCCGGAGCAGAGCACGCGAGCGGGACGCCTCCTTCCCGACGCTCCTCCGGGAACAATGTCAAACTTTTTGTTTTTCCTGAAGCACAAGACTCCTCCGCTCGGAAACTTCACGGTCCCCAGGAAGCCAGGCGTGGAGGCGCGGGAAGGCCCGGCCGAGCCGCCAGCCTTTGCGCCGAAGAAAGGCGGTCGATGCTTGCGGGGTCGTCCCGCCCGGGCCGCCCCTTCCGCCTCCGCGGACCCGGGCCCNTCCGAGGCGCGGCTGCTGCTACAGCCGCCGCTGCAGCCGCCGGGGCCCCGCGCCGTGTGCCGGGCTCGGCCGGGCGGGGCCTCCCGTGCTCTTTGTTGGGTCACTGGCGCCGCCCGTCGGCCCGCGGGCCCCTGTCCTGGCACCTGCCCGCCCGTCTGCTCGGCCGCGCGGCGGGGCCACCTCCGGGCGTGAAGCGCCGCCTCCGCGCCGGCCGCCGGGCGCGGCGAACAAAGCCGCGGGTACTGCCCGGCTCCCGCGCTGGCCCCGGCCCGGCAGTGGGCGTGCGGCCCGGTTGCTGGAGGACCGACGAACCTCGCCCCCGGGCTCGTTGGGACTAAGGAAGAACGACAGGAACCGAGCACCGAGTACTGGGCGTCCTGCAGGTGCTGGGGAACGGCGCCTCTCCTTAGCTTTTGTCTGTAAATAATTTAAATAATTGTTGTAGCACTCGAGGCGCTGGGCTAAAATTTGCAGCACGCGTTCTGTTACTTCTGTCTTTCCACAAGTGCTCATGGATGCACGCAACCAACCAGTATGGTGTGGGGGCCCAGCCCCAGTTCCCTGGCCCACTGCCTATTGGCCTCTGTCCAGGAGGTGGGCCTCAAGCCCACCTCCCGGTCCCCCAAGGCCTCCAGGATGGTCATGCCCCGAATGACCGTTACACAGGGACGTGTAAGTGATGCCACATTGGGGGTCTGGCCTCGGGGGAGGAGACGGAATTCCAAATGGTCTGCACGATGATCTTAACCAAGGACATTGTATTACATTTAATGCCGTGAAAGAATCAGAGCCTCTGAAATACATAATTATGGATAATAAAATGGGTCCCACGTAGCTATTCAAAATAACTTCTCTCTCAGATGTTATAGGTTGCAATATGGATTTCATCAAGTGAAGTCAAAGTCGCTCAGTCCGGACCCTACTCTTTGCAACCCCGTGGACTGTAGCCTGCCAGGGTCCTCTGTCCATGGAAATCTCCAGGTCAGAATCCTGGGGTGGGTTGCTCCTTCCCTTCTCCAGGGGATCTTCCCAACCCAGGGATCAAACCCAGGTCTCCTGCATTGCAGGTGGATTCTTTACCAGCTGAGCCACTGGGGAAGCATGTATTCCATAGTATGTGTTAAATATTTTCTGAGAGAGAAAAACTGGAATAGCATCTCTAACTCTAGGTGTGTGTCTAGTGTAACAAAATAATTATAACTAAAAATCAAATGGCCACTATCTAGTTCTCTCCTTCCTTGCAGAACACTGGTATGTGAATTCAGCTGATACTCACTCTCAATGTGACAAGGAGTTAGAAATTCACAACTGTCACTTGACTCAGTCCATGAGAGCTTTGCCCTGCTAATGGTACCTCAGTAATCCTGGGTGGAAAGGGGAGGGCAGGGCATTGGGGTCTTTCCACTAGCTGGGGGTCTCCTTGCAGCAGCACAGAATCTACAGTGCCAGCTAGGCTTTGGCCCCCAGACACACATGGAGGTGAAGGGGACCATCTGGGCGATCCACCCAGTAGAGTAAGACTTAGTGATGGTGATAAAACAGATGTTATGTTACAAATACTTTGGCCACCTGATGTGAAGAGCCGACTCATTGGAAGATGCCCTGATGCTGAGAAAGACTGAGGGCAGGAGAAGGGGGTGACAGAGGATGAGATGGTTGGATGGCATCACTGACTCAATGGACATGAGTTTGAGCTAACTCCAAGAGAGAGAGTGAAGGACAGAGGAGCTGGCGTGCTGCAGTCCATGTCCGCAAAGAGTCGGACACGACTGAGCAAGTGAACAACAACCAAATGCTAACCTGGGCTATATAGGTCGACTAAAACTCTGCCTTGGGTAAGCAAGGCTGCACAGTGAGTTTTATCTCCCTTTCTCTGGGAAGGCAGCCAAGGAGGAGGGGCTATGTAATTGTATCCATATTGTTCAGGAGCTGTGCATTTGATTATTGTCTTACCTGTATCCCACATTACAGCAGGTCCCTGGAGGCAGCTGTGTTTAGACATTTCAGTGAGGACGTTCTTATTCATGGGTCAGCACAAGCACGTTTCTCACATGTGATTTTTCTCTCACTCTCTAGTCCTTGCTCAAAGATACAGCAAATGGTTTTTACACCAGTATTTGTAAAGGGTGCTCTGCTTCCTCCTCATAGTAAATGACATTTAAAGAACAGTCATTGTTGTGCTATGGCCTTACCCCAACTGCACTTACAGTGTAGACGGTGGATGCCGAGCTGTGTGCCTGGAGATCAGAGCACAACCCAGAGTCTGCGTCCTTCACCTGCTCTGCCCCTAAAATCTGCAAAACAGGGGGGATTCACATGTCACTGCTTTCAAAAGTGTTATCCAACCATGGCGACTAAGGCCCGGATTTTTCAGAAGTCCTCCTCCAAATGATAGTGGAGACTTTTATTAGTAGCCAAGGAGCCTTGGAAATTTATAAACTTGGCTCTTGAAACAATAAGTATGTTTACTATTGCAAACATAAGTATCATGGGAAAATATTGCTAATGAAAAACCTACCTGACATTGCTTGCTATGTCATTTATTAATTTTTGAATTGGTAATTGAACGGTTTACTTTTTCTTCAGGATGGTCCTTCCTAAAGTGGAAAGTATGTAAAAGGCAGATCTTTTAGTTATTGTTTTGAATAATAATAAATGAATCAATCTGATAATGGAGACATGCTTTTACAATAAAAATTGTTTTTAAATAAATTTTTTAACCTTTATTTTCATTCATCTCTGGTTTTTTTTTTTTTAAAACCAAGGTTAATTGGTCCTCAAAAAACAATTGAAAAAAAAAGAATTTCCCTTTTTTTTTTTATAAATTTCCAATCTCTTACCCAAAGCCTCCTGTACATATTTTGGCAAATTGTATAAAGATAAGTATTTGTGTGAAGTTTCTGTTATCTTTCTTTTCTATGCGTCTTTTAAGTCCCATTTAAGCTCTGTGTCAAGATGAAATTCCAAATTGTGAGTTCTTAGTTTTTCCTAGAGCTTTCATAGTTTGGTTTTGTTTTTCGAAGACACTGGTCTCTTTTTATTCACATTTTCTCACACCACCTTAGGAAAAGAAAGAATAAAGAAGAGAGGGAGGAAACAGCCACAAAACTGAGCCAGAGTTCTCCCTACTCAGGCTGTCTTTTCTCTGTTTATAGGGGTCCGAGGCTGCCCTGAGATGCACAGAACTTCAGCTCTGTCCAGTCACCAGGCCGCAGGTTCCCCAGCCTAGGCTTGTTCTGAGCAGAACAGTGCAACCTGGAACCACCACTGTAACCAAGTAGAAAGGAAAGTAAACCCTGATTCTCATCCACCATGTTAAGGACTCCATTTCTTTCACCACGCTCCAGATGAATAGAACCAAAAGGATTCTGCATCAAGGAATTCTGTAGTTATTCCAGCTGAGGAACGGCACCCGTCCAGTTTGTTCCACACATTTTAATTTCATTAGGAAAGCTAAGATGTGAAATAGCAAGCATTAATGGCAGTATTGGTTTTCTTTATGCCTTTCTCTCAAAATGCACAAGGCACCAGTGGCAATCAAGCTCAAAGCGATGTGGAAGAGCCTGTCCTTGGTGTCTGGTGGAGTACGTGCTTGAGGAAATGTTTATTATTCTGAATCTGGATGGATGAGTCACGTTGAACCAGGAAAAAATCATAAGCAAACTACATACTCAAACCCAGATAAGTTCAGTGATTAAACTATGTCTTGATTCTAAAGTCTTTCTCATACTATGGCTGCCCTCTGGTTCTGTGATTCAGAGGAAAGAGTTTCCATTCCAACTTCACTTCTGTGTAACTCCCTGTAACAAAATTCCTCTGTTCCTGGTCGTTGGTTCCTTTATTTGATTGAAAAATAAATATACCTATATTGGTACCATACAGAGAAGTGAAGTTTCTCAGTTGTGTCCAACTCTGCGACCCCATGAGCTGTAGCCTGTAATGTTCCTCTGTCAATGGGATTTACCAGGCAAGAATGTTGGAGTAGGTTACCATTTCCTTCTCCAGAGGATCTTCCCAACCCAGGGACTGAACCCAGGTCTCCTGCATTGCAGGCAGACTCCTTACTGGCTGAGCCAGAAGGGAAGTCCACTGGTGCCATAACACAGTGAAATTCATACAAAAGATAGCTACTCCATTTTTTAACTTTTTATTTTGAAATAATTACAGATTCATAGGAAGTTGCAAAAAATTTACAGGATGGTCCTGTGTACACTTCACCCCTCCCCCAATGGTAATAAGTACATCCTAAAACATTCTTTAGAGGTATGTATTAGATATTATGCTAAGTGCTTTTCAGATTTAATCCTTAAAACAACTCTACGAAGTAGGTATTGATATTTACCTATTTTACATTTTAAAAATAAAAGCTCAAAGAGGTTAAAATTTTATGAAAGTCAGAAAATATCAGAGTTGGAATTCAAATGTTGGAATCCTAATTCTAAATGATGCTAATGGGATCTGTATGTCATCATGTTCATGACTTTTCCATCAAATTTGTCTCTCGGCCAGCTGGCCGAGAAAGAGAAGGAAAAGGAAAGCCTCAGGAAAGCCTCTGTCATTTCATATGTACAGTCTTGGGATCATCTTAACTCCAGTTGGGTTGTCTCTCTGTACCCTCCTGATTTTGACCACTGAAACATTTTAGGAGTCACTCTTTCCCTTTGTTCTCACCTAACACCCTAAGGGATAAGCTGCTTGAAAACCATACTAGCAACTTCCTAACTAGCCTTTTATGATTTCTTCTGGCCAAGGATGCAAAAAATATCTTTCTTATGTAATATTTTGCTTGTATCAGTTCTGGGCCTTAGTAGTGACCCTCCACCAGATGTCCCATGTTTCATTAGAGACTGTTTGGGCTTCTCTGGTGGTTCAGCTGGTAAAGAATCTGCCTGCAATGCAGGAAACCTGGGCTTGATCCCTGGGTTGGGAAGATCCCATGGAGAAGGGACCAGCTACCCACTCCAGTATTCTGGCCTGGAGAATTCTGGGTCGCAAGGAATCGGACACAACTGAGTGACTTTCACTCACCATCTTTTCACTTTTTTTTGGCCCTGCCCTTCACCTTGAAGGATCTTAGTTTCCCCATCAGGGATGGAACCTGGGCCCTGTGGAGTGGTCCACATGTGTGGATGCCTGATAACAGTGGCGAGCTAAGGTGGTAAGAGAAAGACAAAAGCAGAACAGCAGAGCTGGGAGCAGAGTTTCCAGGTATTGGTAACATTCCATTTCTTAGACTGCATGGAGGTTGCCCGTGCATGAATGCTTTGTGATCATTTTTCATGCTATGTCTTATGATTTGGGCCGTTTTTTTCTGTATGCATGTTTTACTTTTAAAAGCTTACTAAGCACAGTGTGTGCTTAGTAAATACACTGAACTCTTCAGAATCGTACACTTAAAAATGGTGTAAGATGGTAAATTTAACATTATATATCTTCCCCTTGCACAGGGGGGGGGGCGAGGGCGGGGAAAGTGAAAGAGGAAGCTTTTACCTGATGTAATTTGATTATTCGTGCTACTTTTGATTTTGAAGCCGTGTTTCCCAGGCAGGTGAGAGGCACCGCGCGCCCCTAGTTTCTCCCCTCCCCTCCGGACTCTCGGCCGCCCGTTAGGATGCACAGCCCGCCGCCCGCCCCGCTCCTCCCCCACAAGCCCTTCGGGTGAGAGTCCGCGAGCCTTGAACTGGAGAGAGCAAGAGGCGCGCGCCTCTACCCAGAGGCCGGGGCTCCGCGTCCTGGGTCGGTGGATGTGGATCGGTCGCTTCACCCCCTTCCGAAGTGGCTCCCAGGTTTGCACAGTGCAAGTGGTAACCTGCAAGTGCCTTTCCCGCGGGCTACTGGAAGGGTCTCAGCAGTGAATCCCTGTAAAGTGCGGAGACCTTGTCTACACGTGGTGGGACGCACAGAGAGCCCCCGGGTCCCCTTCCGCTGCGCGCACCTGCGCGTCCCCGTCGCCGCCGTCGGGGGCACCGAGGGTACCCAGGGGAGCGCCAGGGCTTCCTTTCTGCAGATGTCAGTGCGCGTACGCAATCGGAAAGGACGCCTATCCCCCCAGTTTAACGCAGCTCGGGACGGCACAGCTCTCACTTCCATGTTTCTGCCGGTTTAGACATAAATGAAGCGTATCTTGGGGAGGTCACGGCGTTTGACTCTAGCCTTGGTGCTGTTTAACTTCAGCGGGCTTGCAGCATGGGGGTGGGGTGGGGGGGGTGGGCAACTCTCGCTGCTCCTACGTCATTTCCGGCATCCCCGAGACTGCGCTGCTCAGTGACCACCTGTGCACTTCCAATAGGGTGTGACGTTGTCAATAATGGGAATAACGGTGAACTGGTTTTGTTACTATTATCAGAAGATGCCGTTTCAAATATAATCAAGCAGTCTAAACATGGAGGAAAATCTCCTTATATGCTTCCTCTGTTGAAATTCTGTCAAAGAGCTCTTAATGCATAATACATTTATAACTGCCAGAGTCAATGCTGCAACGATTTATAGACCAACTCTCACATCCACACATGACTACTGGAAGTAGCTTTGATTAGACGGACCTTTGTTGGCAAAGTAATGTCTCTGCTTTTTAATACGCTGTCTAGGTTTGTAATAGCTTTTATTTCAAGGAGCAAGCATCTTTTCATTTCATGGCTGCATGAAATTGTTTCTTGTAATAAACTTAAAAATAGATGCTACAAGAATACTTCCAAAAATTCTTGGAAGTATTCCAACAATTCCTTATAGATTTAAGCCTATAGAAACTATACATCAAAACAAAAAGCCTATCAAAATATTTGCTATGGTGTGCCAGCCATTTTTTTTTTTGTAATTGAAGATATAAGATAGTTTTAAGATTTTCCTAGGTAGTCAATACCTTGAAGCAAATAGGTACTGAAAATCATTTTCCTGAAATAATTATGTTATGCACAAAGGTTGTATTTCCTACATGGCGCAGTGGTAAAGAATTTGCCTGCCAGTGCAGAAGATGCAGGTTCAATCCCTGGATGGGGAAGATTCCTTGAAGTGAGAAATGGCAACCCATTCCAGTTTTCTTGCCTGGAGAATCCCACGACTGAGCGACTGAGCACAGGCACGCGTGCACAGAGTCATGCTGTCACCAGTGCACTGGTGACGATTTAGTCTCAAATGTTCAGCAGAGTGACTGTGAAAGTGACTTTGCAGATGACGACATTGACAAGTTTTGTTTCTACACTGAAATGTCAAACTTTAAAATATAGGTTACTAAAATATTTAAGGATAAAATTATAATCCTAATTAAATTTTTTATAACATGCCATTTATTTTTGTATTTCAGAAACTCAATCTGTGATGGTGATATTCATCTTCTGGCTTCTCTGTTGGCTCAGACATAAGGAATCTGCCTGCAGTGCAGGAGACCTGGGTTCAGTCCCTGGGTTGGGAAGATCCTCTGGAGAAGAGAATGGCTACCCACTCCAGTATTATTCTTGCCTGGAGAATTCCATGGACAGAGGAGCCTGGTGGGCTGTAGTCCATGGGATTGCAAATAGTTGGACATGACTGAACAATTAACACTAGAGTGAAGTGGGAGTTCTCCTACCTTTGGTTAAATGTTGTTTTTAAGATTTGGTCATTAGGTGTTTGACCGTGATATATATTCAGGAGATTGCTCAAATGTGCATCATGAATAAACATGGTGTGTGTGTGCCTGTTGACGTGTGTCATGTGATTGTCTACAATTTCTTAATATTTTTCAACATCTCCCAAATCAGTGTGGGTTGATAAGAGACAGTAGCCTCTGATAAGATGAAAATATATGGTCTATATATTAAAGAGCTATAAGAAATGAGTTCTCTTGTTGTTGTTCTTTGNTTTCTTAATATTTTTCAACATCTCCCAAATCAGTGTGGGTTGATAAGAGACAGTAGCCTCTGATAAGATGAAAATATATGGTCTATATATTAAAGAGCTATAAGAAATGAGTTCTCTTGTTGTTGTTCTTTGTGACCCAATGGACTGCAGCACATCAGGCTTCCCTGTCCTTCACTATCTTCCAAGGTTTGTTCAAACTCATGTCCATTGAATTGATGATGCTATCTAGCCTGAAGGGGCTCATCTTCTGGTGTCATATCTTTTTGCCTTCTCATACTATTCATGTGGTTCTCACAGCAAGAATATTGGAGTGGTTTGTCAGAACTCTTCCTTTGAATTACAGTAAATAAAACGTATTTTACATGTTTAGTGGGCAACAGACATAGAAGATACATGAATGACCAATAGGCACATGAAAAGATGCTCAATATCACTAATTACTAGGGGAATGCAAATCAAAGCCACAATGAGATACCACTTCACACTTACTAAGATGACTATTATTAGGAGGGAAGGGAAGGAGGAAGGAGATTGTGAGCACTGACAAGAGCATGGCGAAACTGGTGGGACCCCGATGCATTGCTGGCGAAAATGTACAATGATGCAGCTGCTGTGGGAAACAACGTGGCCGTGTTGCAAAAAAAATTGAACATAGAATCCCCAGATAATCCAGCAATTCCGCTTCTGGGTATATACCCCCAAAGAACTGAAAGCATGGACTCAGACAGATATTTGCACACTCACATTCATAGCTGCATCATTCATAAAAAGCCAAGTCCTTCTGGGCTTCACAAACCCAGCCCTTCCAACTCAGTCAAAAGTTTTCAAAAGTAGGTGTACAGACGATGTGGAAGCAAGAAGGAACTTTTTATTTTGAGTTTTAATAGTGGTCATCATTTCTGACTTAATTTCAATCTGTGCTTAATGTCTTTGGACTGACTGGTACACATTTTTGGCGTGATTCTTTTCCCTTTTATTTTACATAAACATCTCTATGGGATCTGATTTAAGGAGAGTGAAATTCACCGATGGCCTGGTTCTCTTGTCCGTTTATAGGTTTGGCTCCAGGGAAAACTAGTTTGGCAGGATGAAGAGATTCCTTATCAGCATATTTTGGTTAATCCGTGATCACTGACCAAAGTCAAAACCTGTTGTGACAAACGTATTCAAACGGCACACCTGACGTTTATCTGCAGGTCTGGCCATGCAGTGAAAGGGTTCCTGGGCTGTGTGTCCAGTCCTCTCGTCTGCCGGCCATGCTGCTGCATTTGTCTCGGACCAGAGGACCAGCACCAGGGGGGTGTGAGCGATTTCTGTATCGTAGTTATTTAATTGTTTTGTTGACTAAGTTTAGTTCAGTTGCTCAGTTGTGTCCAACTCTTTGTGACCCCATGGACTGTAACAGGCCAGGCTTCCCTGTCCATCACCAATTCCAGAAGCTTGCTCAAACTCATGTGCATGGAGTCAGTGATGCCATCCAAACATCTCATCCTCTGTTGTCCCCTTCTCCTGCCTTCAATCTTTTCCAGCATCAGGAGTCTTTTGCAATGAGTCAGTTCTTTGAATCAGGTGGCCAAGTATTGGAGTTACAGCTTCAGCATCGGTCCTTCAGCCCCATTTAGTCCCTGTTTGTTGACTAAAGAGATGATTATTTAAGGGCATTAGCTATTTTGACAAGTATCATATTGAGAAGAGAACACAACTGACATGCTTGGGTTTACAGGACTCCTCTCTCAGGTTAGGGAGCCCTGCTGCCTGCTGAGTGCCTTTCGTTGTTCTTTCATCAGTGGTCTTGCACTGTAACTTTCTAAGAATTCCCTGGAGGGCTGGTCAAAGCTCAGAGTGCCCGGCCCCACCCCAGAGTTTCTGAGTCAGTAGGTCTGTGGTGGGGCCTGAGGCCGTGCATTTCTGACACCTGCCAACACTGCTGGTCTAGAGGCCACACTTAGAGGACCCATGACACACAGAATGCTTGTGGTGAAAGCATGGACTCATCTCACAAGTTTGCATTAAAAGCCATGGCTTCTTTACAGATTTTCAAACTTCCTCTTCTGAACACATACTACTGTGCAATGAAAAAGTCTAAAAATAGGAGGGGCACCTTGAGATTTTCACAACTTCATGTCATAAGAATGTATGCTTGTTTTCACAGGAGACACCTTGGAATTCAAAAAAAGGGGGAACAACAAATCGAAAGGCCCGTGAACTCTTTCAGACCTAGCTCAGCAGCCCTGGGATGAGGAAGGCTGGGAGAGGCTGCAGGTCTAGATCAGAACCGAGGGTCCAAGTTCTTCTTCCCTATCTCACAGCAGGGTTTATAGCCTTATGTTAAGAACAGAAAAGTATAAACAACAAGGACCTACTGTATTGCACGGGGGGCTATACTCAATGTCCTATGATATACCATAATCAAAGAATATGAAAAAGAATATGTATATATATTTATAACTGAAGCACTTTGCTACAGTAGAAACTCACGCAACATTGTAACTCGACCATACTTCAATAAAATAAAATTTTAAAAAAGAATGCAGATGAAAAATACAGCAAATGAAAGATGCTGAATTAATCCTTCTCAAAAAGCATCTTCAAAAAATAAAAAATATAAAAATAAAAAGCATCTGTACCTGTGGGAATGCTGAAGTGACATCTAGAATCTGGTCTTTCTCACCTCCCCTGCAAGGCAGGGGAGGAGCAGACAAATGTGCTTTTGCAAATTAAAGAACAATGCTATTGCTCTTTCTGGTAAGATTCATATGTGAGACATAGTGTCTGAATTGAATCAGTCAGTCATGGGG